TGAAATGTGCTAGTCTTCCACGCAAATAACGAAATGTGCTAGTCTTCGACGCGAATAATGAAATGTGCTAGTCTTCCACGCGAATAGTGAAATGTGCTACTCTTCGTAGGGACCGACGATATGTCCATGCTAGTTTTGTACTTTCTCTGTATTCTACGCTCTCTGAGTTTTCGTCAGTGTTGTCATCGAATATTCGCTTGATCCGAGTTAAGTTTGGGAATTAACTCTAGGAGTTAATCCGATTCAACTGCAGTTAATTCCCGAGATAATTTCGAATTTACGAGTTGATCCGGATTAACGCTGCCATCTGTTTAAGCTTTTACACTCTTCAAATCAGTTGTTGCTTAGACAGTAGAGCTGTAAAGCTATCGATAGCCATTCCATTCGATATTTTCGATAGTTTGCATTGATACCATCGATACTACTGATAATATCGAATAATTTTAAAATGCATTGACGAAGCTATTTATATAAACTTTTTAGTTTTGTTTAGTTCCTGAAGAATTAGCTTACTGTCATTTAGCAATTTTAGGTTAATTTTGTCCTTTCTCCTAGATTTTTAAACATTTCAAACCGATAATATAAAAAACAAAAATTCCAATTTGTAGAAAAACAAATCGCTTGTAAACGTAAAAAAAATTGTATGTATTACAAAAAACGTTCATCAGTAAAACTCAGGCTATGCCACAGTATTTTTGCGCAAAACTCGCTCCAAAATTTACAGAAAGAATGTGCTCCAAGAACCCAAATCATTATACAAATAACCGAACCGTACCCCAACTTCTACATGATTATTTATCAATTCAAATTATCAAAAAGAAATACAAGAATCCCCAAAATTTCACCAACCCCGGCTCATATCAATAGTTTCTTCCATCGAAGCAAAATCACTAACACCGTAGTATGGTTCCATAAAGGTATTCCAACATCATTCAGAACAAATAACAACGTAGGACGGATACTACGGAACACCACAAATCGAGGAGACCCATTGCATAAACAAGGAGTGTATACACTAACTTGCAAATGCCAGCATAGTTATATAGGTCAAACAGGACGGAAAATAAAAACAAGATTTCGCGAACATATAAGGGACTATGACAAAAAGACACAGAAACCGAGTGCAATACCAGAGTCAAATTTTGCTAACCACATGTTTAACAACAAATGTTCACCAACGCAAATAAGAAAGTCAGCGAAACTACTGCATGTACAACATAAATGCCAACGACTAAACGTACTAGAAAATATGGAAATATACAAACTAAAAACATTCGACGAGAAAAAGAAAAATGACAACAAAACAACAGGCATGGACACTCCGAACACACCACAAAGTACCACCAGGACAAAAATCACCGACTTTTACCTACCTGCAGGCAAAAACCATACAGATACAACATAACGGATGTTAATATCGAGACAGCGAACCTACCAACCTATTACCTGCTTCTGAAATAAAAAAGGACACCATGGCATTTCTAATAATTAATCATCGACGAAAATCACATTACCTAAGATAAATGAACATAAATTAAGGACAAAAACTCGAACCAGACAGAACGAAAAATGACACTGAAGATGGCACAATGCCGAAACCGGTTTGTCTGCAAACCAAACTTGACAAGGGATGACGGAAATTCATTCCAAAATAAATCGTATTCCAACTAGTTTTTGCAAATTTAATTACACTCAGTTGACATGATTCAAGTATTTGAAAGCAATTTTTGTACATACTCTTTTGTGTTTTCTTTTTGCTTTTACACGCTTCAATTTTGTTGCATTCAAGTTTTTGGCTCTTTAAGTGGGAAACAACGAAAATGTGAATTGCTGTGCTTGAAGCTTGGAACCACTTGACGGTTCAGATGCATATTTACACTTACCTTTTCTTCTAACCCCTCTCTTCCGGATTTGAATTCAATACTTGAACCGTGTAAAACCCGTCTTACTATTGACACAACCTGAAAAATGCGCCAAATCGCAATGCTCCAATAGGTAAAAAATAGTGATGTGTATGCAAATCAATGTTACCGAGTTCCCATTTTCAAAAAAAATAAAATCATTGTAAATAGTTCATATAATATAAACAGTTTTTATTTAGCGCCCAACGGCCACTCGATAGTGCAACAAGTAATTTTTAGCAAAAAAAAACCGACTTAAAAAAAATATATATCTATATATTTCATGATTCAATGATCGGACCTAAACCAAATTAGTATGGGACCACCTCTGAGACACTACCTTTCCGTTATTATTATCGAAATCGGTTGACGTGGTGCAAAGTTATGCGGTAACATACATAAAAAAAAAAAAATAAATAAATATTCCGACGAACTGATAACCTCCTCCCCTTTTGGAAGTCGGTTAAAAATAGTACCATTCGATCCTATCGATAGTACCATCGATAGTCTAACAGCTCTATCAGACAGCAACGAAGCATCATATGCGTTGGCTGCATTGGTAATTTTCTTATGCCACAGTGTGCGCTTACACATGTATGTAGAATGTTCGATAAAAAAATACTTTATGGGGCTGTTCAGGGTATTGTGGAAATGGTCTTGGCTTTGCATTTGCAAATTTAAAGCTTGTTACAATGGCAACCCTTTGCATTGTCATCGAAATATGGAAATGCAAGATCATATGTATGTACAAGGTCCTAAACAGCCCATACGATTCCAAATACTTTTGGTGAAATGCAATGCCTCTTGTGTCACTTCTCCATTAAAGGAGAGCGGGAATATAATGTTAAAAGGGCTTATAATATTTTTCTTTCCTATATATTATTTCCTTTGATATACAATAACTATTTTTTTTCATTCGTTAAGCTTTAAATAAAGCTCTCAACAAAAACCGCAGGAGCTTTTTTCATTGCTTCTGTTGGTTTGAAACGTTCTTTGCCCTTTTTCATAAGATCTGAATAGAAAAATTATTCCAGTTCTCGGCACCTAGATACTAGAAAATCATCCATATTTAAATGCATATCGTACTGAACTGCTTTTAAGAATTTATCTTGGTAAAATTTAATCCGTATAATTTTGTTTTATACTCATCACACTTCCAGTTGTATGTGAAATTCTACGAAATGATGTAATAAGAAGACATTTTTGAAACTACAGTATTTCAATTTTTGGCTCTTAACAGTTGTACATAATAGTACATTTCCACTACATTGAAATCTGAACTTTCCCGAAATCTTTCGAAATTCAGAAGTATTTTCCATATGTTTTCATGATTTCTTCTTATATTTCAATTCTAAGACGAACGATTGTAAAAGTACTACTTAAAAATATAGCCGGATTCTATTTCAGATTTTGAAAATTGAGATAACTTTTCTATAAAATTAGACACATTTCCGTAGATAATCCCAGGAATATTTTATTTTAAGCATATAAATATAAAAAATTACAAAATAACAGTACTAGCTCGTGGCTTCCAATCACCCCTCCCCAAATAAAATGCTGAATCCGCTACTGTTTCCAACGAAGCGTCATCTGCGGCAAGCCTGACAGCCCCCTCATAGCCCGTACATATGCAGCCTTAGGTCTAGAGAAATAAAAATAAATAAATATCGATCACAACCCACACTCTTTTTAACAGGGACCGTAAATAGCAGTTATTTTTTTCAACAGTTAAACTTGGCCAGATATTTTTTATGTCCAAAATAAAAGGTAGTAAACAACCCGCTTATCCAAATAAAAAAAATTTGGTGCCAAATGAAAGTGGACTTAACCAGCTTTGAAACAGAAATAACGAACGAAGGTTAACACTTCTATTTATTTTTTTATGAATTAATACAAAATAAATGCATATACCTGACCCTAGGTCTGTTCTATGGTAATCAAAAACATTTTTTATTGATATATTTTTCAATGGCTGGCTTTCCTCCCTTAAACATCCCTCCCTTAAACATATCAATTTTAAAGCTTCTTTAATCCTCTTTCAGTTGATACCAAACTTGTTTAATTGGGATATGCGGTTTGTTTATTATTAGGAAAAGACTTTTATTTTCCACTTAAAATGTCTGGCCAAGTTTAACTATTGAAAAAGAGTAACTGCTATTTACGATGCTTTTAAAGATATTCATGAATTATGTTGTTCTTGCACTACTATCGGGCATTAAAAATTTCGGTCAAGATTTCCTAATTATAATTGATCCAAATTCTTTCTTTGCAGATACTAGTTTATACAACATCTGCGCACAGTGTACCGTCTTGCGGCTTATATGGAGCGCCACCATGTCAATTCGTACCAGCACCGCCGGGACAAACGCCATCTTGTGCTCGACCGGGCCGAACCTACTGCGAACACGTGGACAATTATCCAACGTAAGTTAATCGCTCTATAATATCACCAATGGGCATCAATCAAAATGAAACGATTAAAACACGATAAGAAATACGACGATGTATATTCTTAATAACTGTGAATCTTATAGTGCTAGTAAATTATCTCTGTGAGATTGTGAAATGTTTTCACACTAATTTTTTAAGCCTTCAAATAGTATATACTTATTGAGAAGGCGTTGGCCGGAAAATACTCCTCTCTGATACACCGAAAAATGCTTATATATTGTTTAGGTCCGGCGACTGTGCAGTACGTTTGAGAAATTTGAACTCTAATATCCTTGAGATAGTTTTAACCAGCTTTGGTATGTATTTGCGATTATTATTCTTCTTAAATATTATTTGGAAGTACAACCGCTTATCGGTTTAGGCCGAGACCAAAAATCTTCGCCAGTTGCCTCCCTCCTTTGCGGAGTTGTGCCAATTGTTCATCATAAGTGCGGACAGTTTCTTCCATTATGTACGGGGGCACCCTTGTTTTCGTTAACCACCCATGGGTGCGGAGTCTAAGGATATTTTCACCGGATCGTCGCACAGTGTTTCGACTATATGGAGGCAGGTAGAAAAGTCATGGGTGACAGTTGATAAAAAAACCGGCTGAGTTTAGAGAGGGAAAGGATTAAAGTCATTGTCACATAATTTGCTCACCCCCCACTAGTGATGGGCGAGTCCGAGATTTTTTAGTCGATTGTCTCGATTGTTCAAATATCTCGATTGTTCTCGATGTTTTCTATCGTAGATGAATTGCCACTCCAAATAGTCGTGCTTAAGCTGAAGTAACATATCGCTAACAATTTAGCGAATCACCTCGGCCTTGCTGCTGACCAGCGGTTGTTAAAACTCGATGGTTCTCTGCAGTGTTGCCATTTTAGTCGTTTTCCAGTTAGATTTAGCCTGTTGTGGAGCAAACAGCAGCACAAAATTTGGTTGGCGTGATAAAATTCTCGGTTTCAGTATTATAAATTTTTTGGCTGCAAGAAACTGCAGTTTTTACCTCCCTTTTATTAGCTCGGGATGTAACTATGTAATATTGATGCGCCTAAAAGAAAAAGAAGTGTGATGAGCAGACGTGGTGCTTTCCGAAATAGTAGCTATAACTTCTACCGCTTAGACTCTATTGCTTTTTTCATTTTCCCTTATAACAAATAGTGCACTGAGAAAAGATTCAACTAATATACATACATACATATTTCTCTCAATACAAGACTTGATAACTATCCATAACCAAATCATGTAACTGTAACCAATTAATGTTGACAGAAATATATATATGTACATATATGTATACTATAGTTGATATTACTAAACTCTTTTGTTAGTGTGGCATATAGGTAAGATAAATTCTTAACTTTTTTGCTTTCATTTTCATTCGAACGCCAATAAATTTTTATTGGGTTGGCAAATTAGAATTAGCTAATTAACAAAAGGCCAATAAAATGTATTAATCTTCTAGCAAAACCACTTTAGACTTACTTTAGTGATGAGAGATGGGAAATATCGACGATACTATCGATATATTGATGGCTTGTGCTTTCTAAAGAATCAGACAGGTAGAACCACATCATAAATAACATAAAAGCGACGCATTACATACTAATAAATATTTGTTAGTTTTTTTCCAAGGCGAATTCACACAAGGTGGTGTTGCCAAAGTAGCTGGATTTTCGCCGCGGTGCTCCTTAGCGCCAGTTTTTCATTGCAAGTTTCAACTTAGATCACGTAAACTACCTTCATACATATATAACATCTGGCTGACACTTGATTAGCTACTCTTAGTTTAAACCTCTCTAGCTAGCTAGCTTGAGCATATAAACTAAGTTTAACCCACAGCCCTGCTATAAAAAACTGGCCTCTAATGTCCAAATGATGTTATTGTTGTAAATTTGTGCGTCTACATTCGAGATGCGTCCTCTATACATTTGCTTTGTGGTTGAACTTAATGACCAAGACGACTCGACTGAACGATGGAAACTTTTCCGTTCCTCGAATTGTTAGATGCCTCATAAAATACCATAAAATTTTTTTAGATTTTACATTCAAATTTCTATATTTTTCAATAGGTATTAATATTTCAATTTTATTAAATAAACGATTAAAAAATAGTGAAATTGTGTATGATCTCTTGTTTAGTTAACAATAATATCTTATACGGAGCGAATTTTACTTTTTGATAAACGGTCCTGAATATTTCGTCCCTAATAGAAGGCCTGAAATTTCCGCACCTGTACTCTGAATTTTCGAAGGAATATTAATTCGGATATTCACGCCTGAGTATTAACTAAATATACGATGTCCGTTAAAACTATTACCATTCAGGCCTGCTGACCAGACATCATCGAATGAAGCATGATACTGAACAAATTTTAGTATATGTATGTCGTCAAATGATATGCAAAGGCCTTAACAAAAAAAAAATCCAAAATTTTCTAATTAATTGATTATGATACATTTCATCGAATTACAAGGCCCCACTCCACATCGTTTTATGCAAAAATAAAATTTTGTTGGCTACGTCTTTTTGTGTTTTAGGTGACGATATGGTTAGGAAAGCATCAAACAATTTTTTGGTTAAGACAGTCTATGTATGTATTTGCGTAGATATGAAATTTGTTTGTGCGGTGGTATGACGGAATGCCAGTTACACAACAGTTACCTTTTTGGCTTTTTTCCGTTTAGATATGTAAATATACAAAAGTACGTACGCGCATACATACATACATATATACACATATCTTCAGAAAATACCTGTTTTCTTGTCCCAATCACCAAAAGTTAGACGGACCGGACCGTCTGCCGGTCACAAAACAATGAACTGATGGATTGTCTGCATCGTGATTTATTTAATTTTTATTGTTTTCGTTTGTTAGTCTCGCACCCTTTTACCGTTCCCTACATTTCTGATGGCACGTGACTTGAATGAGATCTTGAAGAGCTGACTAGCGTTTGGCGCTGTGTTTTGAATGAAGTTTACAGAGCCAGTTTTCAGCGTTTACGGAGCAAGTTTAACGCTACACCTTATTTTTGCCTTTTACAGCAATATTTTGTATATGTAGTCAGTGTATTAGGGATGTTAATTTTTCCGATTTTTACGATCTCGGAATTTTCGGGATGTGGTTATCCCCGATTATCGGATTAGGCACCAGATTTAGATATTCATTACTTTTCAACAACTTAAATCGAAAAAGTTGCTCTTATCTCTCCTACCATAAAATAAATATTAAATAAATGGGTGTGAAACCTACTTTTTTATTTAAAGTGGCGTTTTTATTTTTTATCTCCGGCGTCAGAATTTATTTTAAAGGACTTTGTAATTTCAAAGATATGATTAAATCCAAAAATTATTTCAAAAATTCAATGTAATGTAGAATAAAAATATGGGTATCAAATGAAAGAGGGGATGTTTTAGAAGTTAAAAAATTTAATTTTTTGGATTCATAAGGACGAATAGGTGATTTTTTAAACTGAAAGACGAAGTTCGAGGATGTTATCCAGCTTATATAAGTCCCTAACGTAAAATTTTTTCAAAAGCAAATATTGCGAAAATGCAAGCATCAAATTTTAAAAGTATATTTTCAATACTTACTAGTTCTTATGTACCAAAAAAATTGAATCTGGTTAAATTCTACAGAATTTCCTCTTTAATTTGATACCCATACTTACGGTGACCATTCGTACCGATTTTGGCGGGACTGTACGTTTTGGCGTTTTTACTTACCAAGATAAATTCCGAATTCTTTAAATGCTTTTACGAAGTTTGATCCGTTGTCCGTTATCGTATAAACAATTTGTCTGGCTAGTATGCTAAACTGCCTGTTTATATTGTTAATAAGTTCAGTTATCCGGTCGAAAGAATAGGTACCTTTAAACCGCCGACAAGCTAAAGCTGCAGACTTTCTCGAGAAGTTTTCGGTGTCTAGCCAATGGCATGCCATCCCGAAAAGTAACCTGTTTCCACCTGACCAAATATCCGCTGTTGTACAGACATACTCCCCTTTTGCTAGGGCACCCGATAAACTTTTTATGAAATCCGCGTAGCTGACGGCTAATAGTCTAGTTATTGAACACCTGCTGGGGACATTTTCTCCCGAAAATAACACAGGCCGACAAAATTTAACCAACATTTAGACCCAGAAACCAGACTATATATTTCCGAAGGTTTATGAGGCGCTGAATCCAAATCTGGCCTCAGAATTGTTCTATCTATTGTTCTGGTTTTCGAGATATCCTAACCTAAAAGTGCAAAAAACACCGTTTTTGCCCATATTTCAGGTTAGGTAGCCTTGCAGATGTTTTCTTTCACCAAAATAATAGGCTGGCATCTTTATGTACAAGTCTTCTTCTTTCAAATGGCGTTTTGTTTGCTCAAATATAATTTTTTTCGAATTTTTTAAGATCGAACAAAATATGTCTGTGGGAGCGGTTTTGAGCCCCAAACCCTCCCACGGCATCCACACCTCATTGAAGGGAGAAAATTTATTAAGAATTTACCTTTTCTATAAATTAAAAAAGCCTTCCCTAAAAAGAACTTTATTTACTCCAGTTAATTCTCCATCAAATTCGAAATCCCCTGCGCTTGTTGTGGGACTGTTATTTGAATATTCAGAAATATCTTCATCAGCAATAAAATCACGGTCGGCAATGGAATCGTCACTAAAACAATGATTTTGTTCACCACTTTCACTAATTTTTCAACACTTAACATTTGTGAATCTCCTTAAAAAACACGACCTTAGGTACTATTTTTCTGACCAATGTTTCAGGTGTTGCTATTGTTTTTACATAATACAACAAAACATACATACATATAATGTAAAAACCATAACAACACCTGAAATATTGGTCAGAAAAATAGTACTTAAGCTCGCGCGTGGGTGGAACAACAACAAAACCATATTATGTGCGGACTGGAATAATTTTCGGTGACCGGTTTTCCTTTTGCTGTTGTTGTTTCGGATACGTGCGTGAACAGGATGTTTTGTAAGTGATTTTGGTTCGCTAAACACGAAAGCAAAGCCATCACTTTTTTTCAAAGAAGCATTTTCGAGATTTTTTCGAAAAACGTGGTTTTGTGTGCTTTCCAGTTATTCCGCGTAACTGACATTTGCTGCCAAAAATTGGATTTGCACACACAAGCTCTTGGCTCAATTCTTATCCATTCGTCCTGAAATATACTTGCCAGAAATGCGATTGCGTTATAAAAAAAAGATAACCATTTTGAAATATGAGTATTTTTACTATCTAGAAAATAATTTATGCAACCTCACATACGCGGTTTTGCATTTTGTTGATAAGCGGGTTTGTACTTCAAACGACGATATATTATTTATTGGAGATATTTTAATTTAAATAAAAACGACTGCTATGCCAAAAAGTTATTATTACATTTCATTACATAACACCCAAGCTATACAACTGTCCTTCAGTATTATCCTATAGTAAAATTAGAGCAGAAATAAAATACATCTTTACATAAGTTTTTGTTTTATATTTGTATAAAGACGTGGGTTGAAACCCGCAGATAAAAACTAGTTTTTAATAAAAATGATTAGGTTTATATAATAAGGGCCATTTTCTCAAAGCCTGGTTGACACTAATCCTAATCTCCGGTTAACATCATTATCGACGTTTTCCACTCCATACATAGGTGTCGGTAACGTCGATGACGATGTTTAACCTGAGATTAGTGTCTACCAGGCTTTAAGCACATGACCCTAAATATATAAGGGCCATTTTCTCGACTGTCTGTTAAATTTATCTTGCCGTTAAAAATTGTTATTGACGTTATCGACTGCATGGGAGCGACAAATTTGACGCGCAATCAAAGGCAGTCAAGAAATCGGCCCTAACTCTGTACAAAGAGTAAACTAGAGTAAAACATAGTCATAAATAATTTACTTAATTTTAAATATTAATGATTTTAGGCGTCTTGAAAATTTAAACTGATTAAGGGCCAGTTTTTCAATGTCTGGTTAACACTAACTACAGGTTAAACATCTTTATCGACGTTATCGGTTCCCTGTTATATGTTATGGAGTCGATAACGTTGATAACGATGTTTAACCAGACATTGTAAAACCAGCCCTAATTTCATTAAAAAATTGGGTACGTAAACTAATTGCGTATTAACTTTTAGTATTTGGTTTGTATACCATTTGACTTTAGCAGCTCATTCAATCTTCTAGGCATTGATTACACAAGATCTTTTCTTATATCTAAAGAGATTTGGCCCCATATTTCAATTAGCTCCCTTTTATTCCTTGTTGGAAATGGGCTTCTACCTTATTTTTCGGCCAAGGTCACAGATGCTCCATAGGTGGGTGTTCACGAGCCCTAGCTGTTCAGTGCAAAACCCATTCTTTAAAAGTGTTGGACCTATGCTTGGGATCATTGTTTTGTTGATAGATCCTGTTTCTAGACACAATTTTTCCTCAAAATTTTTAAATAATCTATTTTATTCATTGTACATAGACTCAATGAAGACTAGGTTACCGACTAAAGATGCAGCCATATAGACTCAGCCCATAATCGAGCCCCCGCCGTGTTTGACGGTGATTGTACAAATTTCGAGAAAATCTTCATTCTTTGCTCGCAATATTTTTAGAGGCTTTTTTATTCAAAATATTAGAAATTTACTCTCGTCGGTAAATAAGATGTTTTTCTAAAAGCCTGCGCATAGACTCATTTTGATACTTTTTTTCAAATTCCATATGCTTGATTCCCTGTAGTAGTTTAAGAATTGAATTTTATGTTGTTAAATGCTGATTACATTAGTAATTACTAGTGAACCCGTATAGCGTTAAAACGCCAACATTGAATTTTAATTTATAAACAGATGCCAACCACGGTTGCCATTTCCAAATTATTTTTAGGACCAAAAAATGGACCAAATGGTAACGAATTTACTAATTTTTATTACACCGGAAAACTGAGTGGAGTTTATTCCTCTTTATCGAGAAAATATGCCAATTTGGTTCACATTGATCGAGCGGTTACCAAGATATACACATTTTCCAGAAAATTATAATACTCTTATTTGAGTGAATAAGCTCCAGTAGTTACTAAAATATCGCAGTTTTCGTATTTCTCAAAACTACCTTTATATGGGAGGTGGGCGTGGTTATCTTCCGATTTTGCTCATTTTCAATACCATCCGTCCAACGTTCAAAAGAAGTACACATACCAAGTTTCGTTAAGATATTTCAATTTGTACTCGAGTTATCGTGTGCACAGACGGACGGACAGACAGTCACCGCTTAAACGATTTCTCTTTTCATTCTGATCATTTATGTATATATTTGTCTATATCTATCTCGATTCGTTTTGCCTGTTACAAACAACCGTTATATGAAAAAAATTTATAATACCCTTGTGCACAAATGCGCTCGGGTATAAAAATACTTGACATCCGCATTCGCATCCGCATCCGCGGATGTTAGCGCTTAAACAGCCGCATCCGCATTCGCATCCGCCGATGTCTGAAATTCCACATTCGCAACATCCCTTAACAGATTACTGCATTTGAAATTAGTCGTTTGGGAGCTAGACAAAGTTTTTATATCCACAGCATACATATATAGAGGAGTTACAAATGTATATAAAAAAATCATATCTAAGAAATCAGAGGTATGGAAGATATACATTATAAAGCACCAATCTAAGTGATTTTCACTGTTGTGTGGGATCGGTACGTAAAGCGGTAACACAGTTTAATGTGCTTAGCTGCCTAAACAAAGGAGTTATATCGCACAATCTTGTATTTGAACAATCAGTTGTATGGGAGCTATATGTTATAGTGACCCGATCTTTCTTATTTTCAATTGCGAAATTTCATATCCCTAGCTGTATAAATGGAGGAGTATCTTGTATTACGATTATTCAATTGGTTCCTGAGATATACGTGATTAAGTGAAACCACTATTTTTTAAAGCAGAATAACGCTAATTTGCAAATATCTCGAAGTTTTCCATAGAAAAAAATATCTCGATTTTCGGAATCACCGAGCAAATCCACATAGGAATTAGATAGTGGCATCCATAGAACATTTTTGTTGTAAGACAGTTAGCACTAGTAGTTACTTAAATATGGCTTTTTGCCTAAATTACCGTTATATTGAAGGCAGACGCATTTTCGATCCTACATCGCCTACTTTTATTGTCACCCTAGCCACGACAAAGTGTAGCAAGTGTACCAAGTTTCATTTCGAAGTCTCATTCATTCGATTTTTGAGTGCTACTCCATACAAGTGGAATCACCTTGCAATGTAACCATGAGTACGAGAGCAGAGAGAGTGGAAATAGTGGACGAAGTGGCCAAGTGTTTAGTGATGCGCACTTCCACTGTACAGGGCACAGGTTCGATTATACTTTTGCCAAGAAAAAGCTTTTAAAAAGCATTTGCCGTTCGTAGGAATTTGAAACTTTAGGTCACTCTATTTGTGCTTTAACAACAAGACTCACGCCACAATTAGGAAAAGAAACGCGACCAACCACTTAGCAAAATATTTATGTGCGTATTTCATAAATATATGTATCTACATAAATGCGATTACAAACTACATATGTATCCTGCATTTACATGCATACTTACACCAAATAATTTTTCCTTATTCTTGAATCCTTTAACTCACAGTTACCTCATCAAACATCTCGTTCACAAATGGGGTTATGAGGCCAAAAACTTGCTCATCGATGAGTCTTGGGATGAATTCACGGCACTGACGTGGCACGAAACGCCCGTCTTCTACGATCCAGCTTTTATCTTCTCAAGTCATCGACCGTATAATGGCGGCGGCAATGCAGGACTTGGTAGCGGTGAGGACTTTAATGGATACAAGTACGGTACTCCAGGTGGTAGTGGTGCGAATAGTGGGCGAAATACTGGCAGAGCCGGAGCAGGTGCTTCCAGCAATACTGAAAATACATTCATCATAACAAAATCGCAAACTACAGAAACTCCTACGTAAGTTTGATTCTGACAATCGCTCGCTAAATTTTCGTCGCTAAAATTCTCTAAATGAAAAGCAGTAGGACCTAAAAGTATACAACATGGCAGTGTGGCGAGCATGCAACTAGATATTGCTCGTTGTAAGGGGCGCCTCCTGCTATTATTTTGGAGATTTTTACCGATCAAAATAAGCGATAGCAAATGTTGGAATCCGGCTGCTGGTATCCCATTCCCTAATTCTAAACTCGACTATGATTTCCTATACATATGTATATATAAATCTTTGCAGATTTCTGTTTTACACTTCCGCTGGCCAACGGCTCAATAAAAATCAAGTGAACAGCTTTAATCTAGGCAGCAGCAGCGGAGCGCCCGGCAGCGCGAACAAAGTTTCGTCAAATAGCCCAGCGTTTTGGCTAAAACGCATTTCACGCAACGTTGACGGTATGGTGGGCGTAGAAGTGGGCGGGAATTTTACCGCAGCGTTGTCATCATTCGAACTAGAAGGGGTACCAGACACCGTTAACCGTACGAAACGCAGGTAGAATCATCTATGCAATAAACAATTTCTTGTTGAGTTTATAACTTTTTATAATAATCTACTTTAGCATTACTTCATCATCTCAAACTAGTTCATCCTCATCGAAACTGTCTCGCGACGTTTCACTCAATATGGATCTCTTGGACATCGTCGGTGCCGACAAAGGCGCCAAAACGCGAACTAAACGACAAAGCCCCGGTAGGGAAACGCTCTGTAAAACCACCTCACAATTTATTACACCTCAAGCGGCCCTCAATAATAAAGGTGGGTTTCCAAACAGTGCGGCAATTTCAACAATTTCATTGTAGCAATAATTTGGTAACATTTTAGGGAACTGGATGTTTGTGGTAAATGAGCCAAGCACAGCGCGTCAAATGGTGAAGGCAGAATTATGCGCGTAAGTTTACTATATAATAAAGCCATAATAAATACTATAAACACAAGGTGGCACATTTGCATGAGACAGAGAGAAATGAATGAAATATTGAACGAATGGTTTGTGTATGTACTAAAAGCATTAAAGCGGAAATGGGAATAGTTTTTAAACTGAATATATTTGTGTCCAGAAACATTTGCAAGTAAATCCAATTTCATATACGTACTATATGCATATGGCGAAGGCAATGCAAATGTATGTATGTATGCATGTATGTGTATATATCTAAAGATACTAACCCTGCGGAAAATCAAACTTGTTCAGAACTTGCGCGATCTAGCTGGAAATGGGACAGCAATTGTGAACTGTAACAATAACATTTTCACACCGCACTTATTGCGATATGAATTTTTGACTCTTCTATTCACGATAACGCAGAACGGGAATTGAACCCTTGGTCCATTTTGACAAATCTTTTTTTTTTAGAAAAAATTTCAACTTTCGGTTTTTTACAGTTTATTTTTTTTACACATTAAACGGAAAAAAATAAAGGCAGTAAGTCCACCTCTGTCATTGATGAAAAGAAACAAAGAAGAAAAAGAGCCCCACAAAGAGTTGATTACAAAGAAAGATCTTAAGCAGGGATTGCACGATTTGTACATTTGTAAATACTTAGTTATTTTGACAGTTATAGAACGTGGTTATTTGGGATTTTTTTATTGAGCTGAACTCATTCTCGATAAAAATGTCTAGACAACACCACTCTATGGTCGGTCAAACCAGATAATCGTTAATTTATGACATAAAAAATAAAGCTTAACTTACTTAGGTCAAACGGAATACCTTCATAGCCAAATGAATCGATACTTTAAAGCCGATATTTTTCAGGTATCGATACAACTTCCAAGTAAAAGTATCGCTACCTGCATGGTATCGTTTCATCCATAACCATGATTCCTTAATAAAAGGTTTGATGATCTGGCAATTGTCTTGTTCACACAGCTCAGCTCCCTTAGCATATATGTTGTAAATATTCTTGCTCTTTCCAAATTTTCCCAAAAAATAGTAGTTTACGGGTAAAATAGTATTCGTTTCTGTACAATAGGGCTATTCGCGATCCGGTGCAAATGGCCTAGCATCATTGCATTGCAAATTTGTATTGCAAATTATTTGCAATACACAAACAAAATACACGCATATGCATTTGTCATGGCTTGGCAAATTTGCAATACCGAAAATCCATAGCATAAAAATGCTATGCATTGCATTCATAAACAAAACCAAAGCTGATGCACAAAAATTGTTTTGCAAAAGCTTTGCCATGACAGTTTAATAAAGGTCGCTCACAATCCATGGCATATTTCTGCAATTGCATAAATTTGTCAGCTCTTATGCACCGAATCGCGAATAGCCCTAATATATTTATTTATACAATATGTATATAAAACACACTTAACCCTTTCGACCCGTATGATACATATGTGTACCACTTAAAGTTTAAACATCCTTAAGAGATAAAAATTTAATGTGCATTGGTTGAGAAATGTACCTTATCGTCTGTAAGCTTTCCTGAATGCATTCTGTAAGGTTCCGTTAAATTTTTGTTTATTTTTATGTTCACAACACTGTTATTTGTGAGTTGCGTCGTAGCCAAAATGAAGTGCGTGGTTGGTTTTTACTTTATATTTAGTTTTGAAGTGCCGAAAATATTTACAGCAAAGCAGAATTAAAGTTTTTACGAATATTTACAATTGTGGCAGGATATTAAAAAATATTGTTTTTATGCTAATTTTAGTTAATGGTATCTAAATGTACAATTCGTCGGGTATGGTGGTACACATATGTACCAGTAGTCCGTTGAGTAGTAAATAATGTGACTCCCCGTTTGGATAGAAAACTGTTAGTTTTTCCAGAAAATAGATCCTGAATATACATATTCGATAAATTCTGAAAGATGAAGCTGATAGTGCTAGCGACTTAGAAGACTTTTCTGGAGGAAGCTCTGAAGAATTTGTACCAACTGGTATCTCTAGTTCCAGCGATAACAAAGATTTAGCACATGACATAGTGAATGAGCTGAATGAGGCTGCCGAGGGAGTACTGGTCTGTAATTAACCAGCTAGCAATGACTTTATTCCCAAAAACCTGTCGCGTCGAATATCAATGCCATTTGGAGTACTCCTGACGAGGATTTCCGACATAAACAAACTGTTTATAATCCCCATAACTGCATAATAGCAGACCACATACCTCGCTATTCGTCTGATTACTTATATATATGTATATATAGCCAGATGTACAAACGAGCGTATTTAAATTTACTTAAGTTCGCTGTAAGGCATTCTTTATTCGCTTCTCTGGAATCTGTTTAGCCATGCATTCTGCATTCGCTTCTTTATAAGGCGGTATCAATTCGTTTTTCTTCAATCCGTATTGTAAGGTGTTCTCCCTCAGCTCGAAGGTAATGCTGCCGGTAAGGCCTTACGGCCAATGACATGCCCATGTTGAAATAATGCTTTCTTGAAGCCAAAATGTTAATTCAATTCCGTTTTAATTTCTGTGGTAATCCCATTTTTTTTTGCTGGGAATGCAAGCAGTCTTCTTATTTTCTTATTTTACTCGTTCGCCCTTTACTGCTCATTTAAAGTGTATTAATATTTTTTTGACCGTCTTTACTTTCTTTTCTCATTCGCTTTTACAGCTCAAACACCTGCTCGAATCTGTGCCAATTGCCCAATGGTTATAACTCCAGATGCGAACAGAAATACGTGCAGAAACGGCTTATTGCACTGCAGGCCAACGGTCAGAATCTATACACAGACTCATTTTGGTTTCCGAGCTGTTGCGTTTGCACGATAGCTGCAAATTGAGCGAAGTGTGTCGATGGATGCAGCGGGTGGTTAGCGGTTGACTGGCGGCGGAACGGTAAAAAGCAATGTATTTAAAGCGTAAATTTATTTGCATTCATTTAACTCATTGTTATCGAGACTTTAAAGTAATTTATATTGAATTTATAAGCAAAACCAGATGTATGAAAAATCCACACTACATATGCATGTAGCATAAAATGTTTTTTATTAAAAAAATTTGCAAAATCTTATCGCAAAGCGAAATAATGAGTATATATGTCATATAACAAACACATGTGTGCTCGAAATGGTTTTTATATGGAGGAAAATGGACAAGACCGTAAATTATAAAATTATTAAAAACCAACGTTCTTGGTTGACGCTTTTCAGGAAATGTACAAATATAATATATAAAATTTACATACTACTTCTATACTTTCCATCAAGTCTTAACTGCAGTTTATGCCTATTGGAAAAAGCAGATTACAACTCGAAGGGAGTAATTGCATGTTAAGTACAAGCAGACGAAAGGAAAAAAGCAGAAATTAATCGGCCCTATCGCGAATTTCACATGAAAAAATATTCCCAAAAATTATAAAGCAAAACAATTTTTTTTTCAATTTATTTTTGTTTTGCATGTAAATTATGGAAACGATTTATTCACATGGAATTGGCGATAGGGCTGAATAAATAAACCTTGCCGATCACCTCTCGTTAAAACTAATGTAACTTATCTGGGCTCTTAAGTGCAGTTAAGCGTTTGGTAGAAATGGGCTATTAATCTCTGCAGCAGATCTATTTCTGGATTAATAAGGAATTGGAAAGTCTCGGCCGAAGCATCGCTCTCGGATCATCAGCCTATCAGATTAGAAATCCCCGGTGGGATCAGAGCTTTCTAACTTGACTTCCTAGAAAAACTAACTGGGAAATTTTTAAAATATAAGTGAATAGGACTATTTCGTGCCCATCGCCATAGAAATATAGTTAGCTTGCCTAAAAGAAAATATACAGATAATAGTGGCATTTAGTTCCTTCCTAATCAACTTCAAGTTAACTTATAGTTAGATACATTTCGCGCAGGGTAGCTATGCATATACATATGTACATGCATATCATAACCTTAATTGACCAAGGCCCTAACCAACACTTTTTCGAAAATGCGTTTTTTACAGATTTAGGTAGAATGTGTTAAAATACAGGCTAACTTCCAAAACGTATCAATGCAATGTTTGGATAATGTTATACTCCGGTATTCAAACTGTTTGTATATGCAGAGTTGCGACACATTCCAACCATATACATTTCATATTTTAAATATTCAATATAGCAATAAACAATTTTTCTGAATTACATCAAACGAGGAATCAACTTCGCTTATGATGCGCTTCGGTCACTCTCCTTGTGACTAAAAATGGTAGCTACAATTTTTTACTTACATATACATAGATATAAAAGTATACACGAAAACATTTTCAATAAGTAATGGTATAGAAAAA